CATTGGACCCGCTGTCCAGGAAGGCATGCCACAGTCCAGGCTGCCAGGAAGGAAGAAGGAGATTCAGCAAAGGTAAAAGAGGAGAGCCGCCTCCTGAGGCCCAGCGCTCGTGGCAGCTTCCTTGCCATCGTCTTCCTCCTCCCCTTCTTTCTCCTACTGCCCCCAAGGTGGCTCGGGTAGGCGCCGGGGCAAGAGGGGTGCCTGGGGGGAGCAGCCAGGCTGGACGAGGGTCTGGCGGTCTGCATGGCACCAGCCCCCATCGCGGCTCTATCAGATGGGTGGAGGGTGAGGCCAGGCAGCGGGGGGGGTGGACAGCGGCAGTGGTTTTCTCACCCTTCTTCCTCCTGCTGCCCCCAAGGCAGCTCAGGCAGGCGCCGGGAGGAAGAGTGGTGCCTGGGGGGAGCAGCCAGGCTGGCGGCCTGCATGGCACAAGCCACCACCACAGCTCCATTGATGGACGGAGGACCAGGCTGGGCAGCGCAGGGTGGCAGGGACCCCCAATGATGCAGCAGCGGCTGCCGCTGCCGCCGCCCTTGCACTGTCCGGCCTGGTTCTCCATCCGTCAATGGAGCCACGGTGGGGGCTGGTGCCATGCGTCCCGCCAGCCCCACCGCTAGCCCAGCTGCTCCCCCCAGGCACCCCTCTTCCTCCTGGATCCCGCTCGAGCCGCTTTGAGGGCAGCAGGAGGAAGGAGAGGAGAAGGGCGAGAAAACTGCTGCCGCCGCTGCCAGCTGAACTGAGCTGCGGCTCTTTTATGACTTGTGGGCTTCAACTCCATGCCTCCTGGTTGCCCAGCTGCGCTCCGCCCTGGCCGCCCTCCGCACTGCGTGGGAGTTGCCCCCGCGCCGCCCAGCCCGCCTCCCTCGCCGTTGAAGGCCACCTCGGCCCTCTGGTGCCTGGCACGGCTGTGGAGCTGCCGGACAGGAGCGGCTCCTTTACAGCTTGCTGGGCTCCGGGCCTCGGAAGCGGCCAAGGGGTGGGGTAGAGGGTGAGGTGGCGACAATGCCCGCATGTGCATCGGAGGCCAGCTGGCCAGGCCGGGAGGGGAGAAGTGGCACCTTCCGAGTGGGAGCTGATGCTCCGGCCGCATCCCTCTTGCATGCGATGGGCTGCGCGGCGTGGAAAGGGGCTCCTGCAACCCCACCGCTGCGATGGCTGGAGGGGCGGGCAGGTTCCGGGGGGGGGTGTCTGGGAGAGGGCGGGGGGGCTCCAGGTTGGCGGGTGTGAGAGGGTGGCTGCGGCTCCAAGGCGTGCAGATCCTCTGTGCGACTTCCGAGGCCTCAGAAGTGCCGCCACTTGACTCTCCACCAGGCTTTCCGCCAGAGCATCCCCCTCCCCAGGCAATTGTGCAGAGCTGCTTGAGCGTCCTTGGCAGTGCCTCCCCCCTTCAATCTCCTTCCTTCTCCATCTCCTTCCTTACCCCTTCAATCTTCCTTCCTTCTTTCCATCTCCATCCCTTCCCCTTCAATCTCTCCTTCCTTCCTTCCTTCCTTCCTTCCTTCCTTCCTTCCTTCCTTCCTTCCTTCCTTCCTTCCTTCCTTTCCTTCCTTCCCTTCAATCTCCTTCCTTCTCCATCTCCTTCCTTTCCCCTTCAATCTTCCTTCCTTCCATCTCCATCCCTTCCCCTTCAATCTCTCTCTCCTTCCTTCCTTCCTTCCTTCCTTCCTTCCTTCCTTCCTTCCTTCCTTCCTTCCCTCTTCAATCTCCTTCCTTCTCCATCTCCTTCCTTTCCCCTTCAATCTTCCTTCCTTCCTTCCATCTATCTCCAATTCCATCCCTTCCCCTTCAATTTCCCTCTCCTTCCTTCCTTCTTTCCTTGCCCCTTCAATCTCCTTCCTTCTCCATCTCCTTCCTTTCCCCTTCAATCTTCCTTCCTTCCTTCCATCTCCATCCTTCCCCTTCAATCTCTCTCTCCTTCCTTCCTTCTTTCCTTCCCCCTTCAATCTCCTTCCTTCTCCATCTCCTTCCCTCCCTCACAACATTTTTGAGCAAAGAAGAGTAAGCTTCTCCATCGAGCATTGCTATATTGTTTTTGTGATTAATCACTATGCTTTAATTATATTCAATTCGTAACAATGAAAATACACTGTTCATATCAGATATTTACATTACGATTCATAACAGTAGCAAAATTACAGTTATGAAGTAGCAATGAAAATAAATTGGGGGTCACCACAACATGAGGAACTGTATTAAAGGAGCGCGGCATTAGGAAGGTTGAGAACCGCTGAAATAAGGGAAAGCAAAGCACAATATTTGTAAGCATCATTTCTCAAGTCTGCTGCCTGAATTTGCATGAATCCACTCTATCAGCCAGTGTGGTCAATATTGTGACTACTGTGACATTTTTTCCTTTGGATTTTTAACCTGAACCTGCCAGGAAAGAATAATATGCCTTTTCATCAGAGTTAACCTGCCCAGCAGTTCATTTCCTTTCTCCCTCCCTTTTTTGAACTAATAGCTACTCAAGAAAAATTGTCTGCATTAACAGAAATAACTAGGTCCAGTTTACTCTGTTTAATATATAGCTGTACAATAGGATAGACTGTGCAGGTGAGGTGAGGCTGTTCAGATGAGCCTTTGGGTTTCATTGATTCTCCATGATCCAAGTTTTTTTTAATTATAGTTTTATTAACTTTTATGTGAACAGTAGCAATTGTAACTACAGAGCACTTATAAGTTTCAGCCTAAATTATTCAGACTGTATGCATAAGAAAAAAAAAAGAAAATGACAGAAAGAAAAAAAAGAAGGGGAAGATACTAAGAAGATAATTAGAAAAAAACCAAAACTTTTGTTTTACCAAAATGATCAATTTCGTTTGTGCAGTAATTGCTTGCTCTATGGCAGGGGTCTTCAAACTTGGCCCTTTTATGACTTGTGGACTTCAACTCCCAGAATTCCTCAGCCAGCTTTGCCAAGTTTGAAGACCCCTACTCTGTGGCTTTCTGCATTATTGAAATGTCTTCTGTGGTTGCCAACAGGAGCAAGAAGTGTCTTCTAACCACATCGCTTTCTGATGACAAAAATATTTTATTGCAATTTTGATCTTGGGTAGAGAGTGAGAGGTGTTAGGACCCTTCCATTTCTTCTTTTTGCTTTGTTTCAAGGATGTTACATTTTCCAGTGTTGTAATCAACAATTAAGCGACAGGATTCTAAGGTTCTTGACATTTCTGGCTCTCCCTCCTTCCTTGTGCAGTTATATATTATACAAATGTTCTTGTTCAGTGAATTATTTAGTAGATGTACTGTGTTTAGGCACATCAGTTCTTGAACTTCCTTGAAACCTGTATTAACTGACTTTATTCTTTTACTAATATTTTCCCAACATATTTGATATATCCTTAGCATTTCCTCATTTATTTCTTTGTTTAAATGAACCACAATTAAACTAAAACTGATATTTTCTCCTACTTTCTCCTTTGTAAAGCTAACCAATATAATTGTTCTGATTCAGTTGAGCTTTCTCACTTTCCTCTTTTGGCTCCTTTCCAAATTATTTTTTTTTTGGGGGGGGGGGGGATTCCTTTAAATATTTTAGACCCCAATTCCCAAGCCATATTTCTTGCAAATTCAAGGCACTCTCCCTCTCTTCTTCCAAATAACATACATTGACCATCTGAATTTCTCTTAGTTGGAGAGACATATTTCTATGCTTTGAATGTAGGAAAAATGTGAGGAAGCAATTGCTTATCTACTTTTTTCCAAATAATAGGTGTGAATTATGAGTATCACCACAGTTTTTTTTACTTTCCAGGTACATGAATGATGACTTTGTTTATTACTCTAGTGCAGGGGTAGACAACCTTGGCTCTTTTATGACTCGTGGGCTTCAACTCCCAGAATTCCTGAGCCTGGGAGTTGAAGTCCACGAGTCATAAAAGAGCCAAGATTGTCTACCCCTGCTCTAGTGGGAAAGAGAAGCTAGTGTTACTAGGCTAAGCCAAAAGCTAACAGGGTTTAAGAGTGGGGATATCATTCCCTGATATGTTCCACATGAATTTCTTGCCACAGATTTCAGTTCACAAACTTTTTCTGCAATGTTTAGATTTCAGTAAAAGGCATTAATAAGATATGTGGCTGAAGATGATTAGAATGGGTTGGCGTGTTTGTTTGGTATGAGGGTCCTTGTTAATAAAACAAAGCTAAAGATCTGAGCTTACTATGATGGGTGTGGACATCCCTTACATGAAACTCTGTGCACTAAAGGAGAATATTTGTAGCTCAGGGCTGAAATGAGGGGTCCTTGGTGCTCTCTGAGCTTGGTTGTTTTCTTGCAGACGTTTCATTACCCAAACTAGGTAACATCATCAATTCTAGTAATGAAACATTTGCATACAAATGTTTGCATACAAACATACAAGCAAGCTCAGAGAGCACCAAGGACCTCTCATCTCTGTAAACTGTCAGGAAAGTGAAATCCCTTGTTTATTAAATGTGTTTAATTATTTGGTTCCTCTAAGGCAGAGGTGTCAAAACTGCCAGCCCGTGGGCTGATTGCATCATGCAGAAGCCGCGCCCACCCCAGCTCCAGCAATGCAAAAAAAGTTGCTATATGTCACGACACGTCACATGATGCGGCGAGTTTGACACCCGTGCTCTAAGGAGTCAGGATACCACTCATGGTTCTCTTCTTGCTAATGTAGTATTCCTAAAATGAACTGCACGGGATGGATGGGGACCCTCTCCCATCCTTGTCTAACATTGCCTTTCTCAAACTGGACAAAGAAGGAACTGTTCACAAAGACTGACATTCTCCGTTAAAGGATGTAGAGGTGGTGTGGTTATAAATGAAATCTCTACATCTCAGGTTCTGTAGGACTCCATATGCACACACATGGTTCTCTGATGCTCACTCAGTGCGTTTTTAATCTGCAGCCATGAATAATGCAATGGGATTGTGTGTTGGTTCTATGATTATATTTTTCTTTTCAAGGAGACTTGCTATGTTAAGGTGGGAATCTTTTATTTCTGTTACCATGACACCCTGTTGCTCATAGGTACAAATCAAACGAAGAGTATGTGTATGTGCGAGGCCGTGGACGAGGGAAGTATGTATGTGAGGAGTGTGGAATTCGCTGCAAGAAACCCAGCATGCTGAAGAAACACATTCACACGCACACAGACGTCAGGCCCTATGTCTGCAAGTACTGTAACTTTGCTTTTAAAACCAAAGGTAAGCATCAGTCAGCTCTGAGCTCATCTTCCTAGTGCATTGGCTTGCTGGTTGACATTCCCTTGGGGACAATAGCAGATATGATGCTTAAAGTTCAGCTGGAGAAGACCTAGAACTTCAAACTGGCTGAAGTTTGCTGAAGCATGCCAAAGCAAAGCTATCATCTGCTGGATAATCAGATCACAGGGAAACCTTTGAATGGAGTATGCCTTTAGTTCAGGTAGTCCTCGACTTATGGGCCACAATTGAGCCCAACATTTCTGTTGTTAAGTGAGACAGTTAGCATTTTTTTCAAAACCCGTTAAAATAGTCAATATAATATACAGGTGGTCCTCCACCTACGACCACAATTGACCCCAAAATGTCTGTGGTGAAGTGAGTTTTGCCCCATTTTATGACCTTTCTTTCCACAGTAAATCACCGTAGTTGATAAGTTAGTAACAGGGTGGTTAAGTGAATCTGGCTTCTCCATTGACTTTGTCCAAAGGTCACAAACAGTGATCACATGACCTCGGGACAAAGCAAAGGTCATAAGTATGAGTCATAAGTTGCCAAGCATTTGAATTTTGATCACATGATCCTGGGGATGCTACAAAGGTCGTAATTTGTCAAGGTAATAATGTAACAGCTAACCAGCTTATGTAATGAAAGATGTAATGGTGGGAATGACTCAGCAGGGTCTATGTCCCTTTAAGAGCCTTTGAATAAAGGGAAGGCTCTGCTGATGTGTTCACTTCTCTTCTTCTGTTTCCTACTTTGTTGGATCCTGCTCTATTAGCACATGTATGTATATTGTTCCTGATGTATGATAGTGTAGATAGTGTAAGATAAACCATCATTTAATACAAATCTTTGTTTACTGTGTTTATTCCTGGGTTATCTCGACACAATAAGACTGTGCACTCTCTGACATAACTGGAAAACAGTCATAAGTTACAGTGTTGTTGTAACTTTGAATGGTCACTAAATGAACTATTGAGGACCACCTGTATAACATTTGAGCCTGTGGAGATCAGAACCAGTGGTTGCCAAGCTAGAGAAAGTCATTTTGATATAAATCTCCCTTGTTCCTTCACTGAAAGCATATTTGAACAATGAACATCTATACCATGCATTTGTTAATTGAACAGGCAACCAAATAATATCTTGTTACAGGGCAAAAGCCATGCAGAGGCATCATTTTGTAGGTCCTATAGGCATTCAAGGGCACCTCCAGCCTTATGTGCTTGCAATCTCAAACTAACACATGCTATCCATTTTTATCCTTGACATACTCTTATTGGCAGTTTTGGATCAAAGAAACATAGAGGTAGTCCTTGACTTATAACTTTTCATTTAGTGACCGTTCAAAGTTTTTCACAGCACTGAAAAAAGTGACTTACATTTTTCACGCTTATGGCCATTGTGGCATCCCCATGGCCACATGATCAAAATTTGGACACTCAGCAACTGGTTCATATTTATGATGGTTGCAGCGTCCCAGGCTCATGTGATCACCTTTTGCAACCTTCTGACAAGCAAAGTTAATGGGGAAGCCAGTGAGTAACTGTGTTACTAATTTAACAACTGCAGTGATTCACTTAGCAACTGTGGCAAAATGGTCATAAATGGGCAAAACTCATTTACTGTAACAACTGTCTTCACTTAGCAACTGAAATTTTGGGCCCAATTGTGGTCATAAGTCAAGGGCTATCTGTATTCTCCCAAAGGACTGTACTTCCAATCCAAATCTGTGGGTTTCTCAGTTTGCCTGCCTCCCACATCTCTTTAAGCTTCTGAATCTGTTATCTTTATTACTTCTCATTTTTGGTTTATTCATAGCTAAGAGATAGTTTTAATTCTTGAAATAAAGGTAACTATGAAAGCATGACTGAACTGCAGGCAGAAGGATTTATAAACCAAGAGAATATGAAATATGAGCAAGCTGCAGCTTTTTTATTGCTGAATGTGATGGGAAGAGGGATGACTTAAAGTAAAATAAACAATTATTTTTAAGAACATAGTAGTATGGTTAAATTAGAAGTATATCTGTTCAATACTCTTAAGAGCACAGTATTCCTTTATTTTCAGTGGAAATAGCTCTTTGCTGCATGAAGCAATTACTTTGAATCAGTTACAGGCATAAGGGAATTTAGCTACTAGCCATTGTGTTGTTGAAAAATTTGCAGAAAGTAACGTGTTCAGATTTGGACAAGTGGCACCTTAACTTAAATTGGTATGGATTTTTTTGCAAGTAATAGTGATGATGGTGGTGGCGCAGTGGTTTGAAGGCAGTACTGCCAGCTGCAGTACAACTTCTGCTGATTGCCGGCTGCCAGCAGTTCGATTCTCACCAGCTCAAGGTTGACTCAGCTTTCCATCCTTCCGAGCTCGGTAAAATGAGGAACCAGATTGTTGGGGGCCATATGCTGACTCTGTAAACTGCTTAGAGAGGGCTATAAAGCACTATGAAGCAGTATATAAGTCTAAGTGTTATTGCTATTGCTATTCACAAAAATCATCAGTGTTGCATGGGCACTAAGTCTGGGCTTTGCCAAAAGCCTCTGTGGCCAATTAGCCTGTTCTAACCTTGACCAAGGTATAGAAACCTCTACCTAGGATATCAGAAACTGATATGCGAAATATGCATATTTTTGCTTAAGGGAAATCGGCTTACAATTGAAATGTAAATTTAGGAGTTCAGAATACTTCTCTTGGGTTATTCTCATTTCTAGTTCTAGGGGAATCAAAAGTCACTGTTGGGTCTTCTACATGTAAAGTATTAGCTCTGTGTTTGAATTCAGATAGTACATTAGTTTGAAAAGTGTCAGGTTGCAAAACTGGAAATAGCCAAGGCTTTGAAAAGAGATATTCAGTTGGCATACAATGCTTGCCCAAAAGGAGTACATGAATGGCTATGGAAAAAGTATTTGGAACTCTTCTTTGCTAACTTGGTGTAATTGAAAAGTGGGATGAACATTTGTGAGGCAATGTAAATTCTGTTCTAGAGTTCATTGACCGCCATCTGAATTCTGAGATGTATACAGAGTTTGTTGTGCGGTTCAATGAAACATAGGCATGGGGAAATGGGCCTTCATTCATTTTTGTTTAGAAGGTTTTTTTCCTGAAGAAAATCAGAAAGAATTGAACTTCTTTTCCAAAGTAATTAGATGCTTGGAATTTGCTTCTCTATCCCTCCCCCCCGCTACCTACCTACCTACCTACCTACCTACAATCTCCAATACCTTGCTCAGAATCCCCTCAATTCCCAGCATCCATTCCTTTATATTGAATACCTTCCGCAACTCTTGGCAAGAATACAGATAGCATACAGGAGGAATAAAATATCTTTTCTGATTCCATCGGTACTCTTTTTCTTTTTTGTACATTGTACACAATTGTGTGTCCAATATGGGGAAATAGATGGGGCATGCACAAAGTCAGTCTTCTTTTTCTCTCTCCAAGTTTTAATCTGAGACAGAAAAAAAATCAGCAGCTCTTAAAATGTTGCAAATCCTTCTTTGAAGGTATTGAAATAAGTTCCTGAATATCTACTGTGGCTTGTCTAGACAGAAAAGAGTACAAGTATGCAGGAAAAATAGAACATGTACAGTAAAGATAATCACACCATTTTCAGGACCTTGGACAACTTCATAAAGAAAAACTATTGTCCCAGCAGAGAATACAGTATCTAAGAAGGCAGAAAACCTAGTCATTTATTTAATTCCTGGATGATGATGGCAGCAATCTTTAAACAATTCAAGACAATTACTGTAGTTTTGTGCTGCTTGTGTAGCTGAAAAATAGTAGAAACCTTAGGGTTATAATGTAGTTCTCAGAATTTGAGGTGGTAGGGAGGACTGAACTTTCATATAAGGAGGGCTAGAGGAAAACTTTGATTTCTCTTGATTAGATGGGGATTTGCAATTCATCTATCCCCTGAATCTTTTTTGGGTTGAGTCTTAGTGCAAGGAACATCATAATGCTTGCATGATGAAAATATAAGTCCTCATCTCTGCATATAAAAGATAGACTACATAACAGAAATCTATCAAAGCAGACATAGAACATTGTTTCTATTCTGGTTCCAATTTTGTCCATTTGTAAACATTATTATAATATAACTTTGGAGAAAGTGATACGGTGAAAAGATTGTCGACAGTTTTTCTGGGATTTTACCCTGAAGCTTAAACTAGCAAAATGTTCCTAGTATCCGTGGTATTATCAAAAGTTTTCAGGTGAAGATAAGAAATCTAAATATGGGACTTGGTATGTTCAACTGATGCTATATCAAGTCTCAGATACTTATGAAAATAAGATAGTTGGGCAATCAGGAAATAATTTGCAGTCAGATTTGTGTCCTCCAGAAATCTCAGATATTGGTCAAATATAATAGTGTAAACAATATTAGTCATTGAGTTACAAGGTAGAATAGCATTTATTCCTTCCGTAAAGAAAACCCAGTGTCTGGAGAGATCAGTTTGGTGGGAAGAATTCTTTCCTCTCTGAGTTATCCCCCCCTTGCCAAGTTTTCTTGCTTATGTGTTTGTTTCCTAGAAAGAAACCAAGTTCTATTGCACAAACAAATCTGGGGTACTTTTCAGTGCACTTGTTATCATGGGTAAGTGGGGTGTAGCCTTTAAGTGAATTTAAGCAATTCCAAATATTCACCTTAAAAGGTGGGAAAAGATTAGCTATATTATTCATGTATTTTAAGATCCAGTAAAAGATTATTCTGTGCCATAGAATTATTTGAGCACATCTAAGGCACTTGGAATCCAATAACAGTGCAGAGCAAAGGCACATTCCATTCTCCAATACTGAAAGAAATGATAATTGAAAACCCTTAATTTTGGTGAACGGACCCTTTCCCCATTTTTTTCCTTTCCCTTTTCTGTCTGCTTTGGTAGTTTGTTGCAAAGAGAATTTATTATTATAATTTAACTTGAGCTTGATCCTAAGAGTGCCTATTAAAAACTTGAAAAAAGCGAGTACAGAGGCAGAGATATGCAGATATACAAACAGAGAGATATATAGTAAAGAATGCCATCACACTATTATCTTTTTTGATCGGCTGCATATAGTGATCTTTGCATAAATTTTGCTATGCTCGGTGTATCCCAAATTCTGTGGCTACTCAAAAAGAATAAATGTTGTTAAACTGATTGGGGTAATGGTGAAGGTGCTGGCTTAGAAACCAGGAGACAGTGAATTCTAGTCCTCTCTTAGGCATGAATGCCAGCTGAGGGACTTGCCGGTCACTGTCTCTCAGACCAACCCACCTAATAGCGGAAAATAGGAAGAGGAAGGAATAGTAGGCATGTTCACCACCTTGAATTATTTATAAAGTAATAAAGATGGGATTAAAAAAAAACACCTTAGAACTGAGAAGCCCAATCTGGACTGATTTTATCAGTTAGTGAGTAATTGGAAGAGATGGAAAAACTGACATTTCTTCCTATCTCTAGTCATGTATGAGGAGACACGGGGCTGTGGTCAGTCGGTATGATTTCATCCTCTCATTTCTGTCCTTAATTTTTTCCCCTGAATAACAATATCCTTTATTTATAGCAGACATGTCAAACTTGCGATGTCATGGGATGTCGCGTGACGTATCGGAACTATTTCTCCACTGCCGACAATGGGCATGGTTTCCTCATGGCATGGGCCATGGGCCGGCAGCTTGGTACCCCTGATTTATAGCATTAACACCCTATGACTTAGCTGCAAATATTACAGAGGATTGTAAGAAAGAAAGAAAGAAAGAAAGAAAGAAAGAAAGAAAGAAAGAAAGAAAGAAAGAAAGAAAGAAAGAAAGAAAGAAAGAAAGAAAGAAAGAAAGATGGAGAGTAGACAAAAATGAATTTCGGTACTAACAAGAAAACGTGCTCATATTTAGCTCAGGTTGGGAATAATATACTCTATTATTTAATAACTCTTCCATTGTTCCCACTGATATAATTAAACATTATGATATATGAGAAGGTATCTGCTCGGGGGACTGAGGTGTAACAATTCATTGAAAACATACCTCCACAATGAATAAACCTCAATGTATCATGTTGATTTTTTATTATTAACAATTCATTCTTCTTTAGATGGTGTAATATGCCAATTATTTTAAGGTTCTTCTTGATTAGATAATTGTAACAATAGCAAAAATAAGTTCTATTTATTACCACTTTCATATTTGAAACAGGAAGAGGACTATAAAAAGGAGTTTTGTCTGTGCCATAACATTGATCCATAAGCAAAAAATGGAATCACTGTCCAGATTGATTAATCATTACCATGATATGTACACATGCTAAACATTCTGGACTAATTTGGATAACTTCTAGCCTCTGTATTAGGGTAATATATATTAATTTAAGGTCATGAAATAAGGTGCAAACTACTATATTCTCCAGAAGTCCTCAGTAATCTAGAGTTTTAAAAGTATGTTAAGACCAGGGCTTTTTTTCTATAGAACCCCCAGAACGGAGTTCCGGCACCTTTTTTGGATGGAACCTTGTAGGGTAGGCAAGGCAGGTTGTATGACATGTGTGAGTTCCAGCACCTTTTTTTTTTTTTTTTTAGAAAAAAAGCACTGGTTAAGACTAAGGGGCCTGAATTCAAGTCTAGTCCTAAAAGGGAATTTGGGAGTCTGAAACATTCTACTTATGCTATAGTATTTGTTGTTGGTGAGAAAGAGGAGAAGTTTTAAGGTATTGAGGATTAATTTGAAGAAATCCTATTTTTGTAAATAGAAAATCCGGTAGTTATTCTAAATCAGAAACTAAAAATCTTTTCTACATTAAGTAATTGGGACAATAGTTTTTTACACTACTGAAAAACATTTTTTTTCTCTAGGTAAAGTAGCTTATAGAAGAAACAATTGGACTCATGTCTTTTTGTCTTTCTAATCTTATAGTTCAAGAATATATAGCAGTTTTCAAGATAAAGGCTAAACTAATCCTTTGAGTAAGACTATGTGAACTGTACTTTCCCAATGTGAATTGAATCAGGACATTAAAAAAAATGGGTGAAATCAGATTAAAAAAAAAAACCAAAACAAAACTAAACATGTTTGATTTCAGTGCCAGTCCATTTACATTAATTTATCTCAATTGATAGGATTATTTCCCATTTAATAATTTCCCCTCCTCTGATTCCTGGTAGCAACTTGAAATTACTGTGGGTGCACCCAAGACTTGGGTGGGGAGCATGTCTACCTGGCACCTCAGTTTCCCCCCCCCCTGTTAATTTATATAGTTAGACTTACTTGCCCAACAGTTGGAAACACTGTTGCATTACGAGAACTCAGATATGAAAACATATTCAGGAATGAACCAAAACTTTAAAAGATCCACTAAAATAAGTCTTTCATAATGCCTTCTTATTTTTGATCTACTCTGTCCCTTGGGGAAAAAAGTGTATTTGTGTGAAAGGCTAATAAAGAAAAGGAAATGTTTTGCAATACACTTGCAGTACTCCAACCATAATTTGATTTCATTTCTTTCATAGCCCAGTCATATGTCTTCCCTTCTATTGCACATTTTCTGTTTTGCTGCTTAAGAGAGAATAGACATTTACTTCTGGTGATTTCAATGGAGAAATTGGTTACTTAGGACCTGATAAAGTTGGTTTCCTCTACTTGCTGTTGGATACAGGTTCTAAGGGTTCACAATGAAGCTAGTACTACATTCCCAAATGTTTCTCTGGCTTGAGTGTTTGAGAATTTCTCCCTTCCTTACATTCTGAACTGCAAAAAAAATCATTCTAAGATTGTAGGATTGTAAACGCTCCTTGTTGCAATCTCCAAAAACACATCATGCAATCCCTTTGTGTTTTCATTCTCTGAGACTTGTGACTAAATTCTATGGTTGGGTTAAGCAACAACTGCAATTTAATTTACAGACATAGATTGAAGGGTTTTTTTTTAAATGACCCTTAATGCATAGAGTCATGCACAGAGGCTCTTATCAGGGTTTCCAATGATTCACTAGCTCAATCCCTCATCATGTTCTTCTATTGCTTTATTGCAACATTCCCCACTCAAGTCACATTACTTGAGCACCTGGAAGCTGAGCAGTTACCAGTTTTGATTTATTATCGGACACGTAGACACTATTCCCAAAGCACAGCCTATATTTAATTTAAAGCAGTTCTTGTGTCTGAAGCAAATCTGTCTTGCTTTCAAACGTAAGAAATTAAGGTAATTCTAAATAAAACCTCTTCAAATCTTTTCTATTTCATATTTGCTTGCCATTGTGTTCAGATTATGATCTACTGTTAAATGAGCAAACTTTGCATGCAGCCACTTTTTTTTATGCTGGAGAAGACTCTTGAGCAGGGTTCTTCAAACTTTGCCCTTTTATAACTTGTGGACTTCAACTCCCAGAATTCCTCAGCCAGGCACACTGGCTGAGGAATTCTGGGAGTTGAAGTCCACAAGTCATAAAAGGGCCAAGTTTGAAGACTCTTGCTCTTGAGAGTCCCTTGGACTGTAAGGAGATCAAATCAGTCAATCTTAAAGGAAATAAACTCTGATTGTTCTTTGGAAAGATAGATCCTGAAGCTGAAGCTCAAATATTTTGGCCACCAAATGAAAAGAAGGGCCTCATTGGAAAAGACCCTGATTTGGGGAAGATTGAAAGGCAAAGGGAGAAGGGGATGGCAGAGAATGGGATGTTAGATAGTCATTGTTGCAATGAACATAAAATTTGGCAAACTCTGGGAGACAGTGGAGGATGGGGGGGCCGGTGTGCTGTGGTCTATGGGGTTGCAAAGAGTTGGACATGACTTAGCAACTGAGCAAAGACAACAGTACTCCTTTTAAAAAAATAAGATGTTGATTTAGATGACCTGATTAGTGATTTCCAGAAGTGGGGAGAATATAAAAATTGGCTGAGGTTTTTAGTGGAATGGTAGCAGAGACCTTGAAAAAACAGACTGCAGAGTGCAAAGTGTGTGCATTTAAATAAATAAAAAATATTGTAAGGATAAAGCAAGAGGTGAAAGAACTATCATAAAGTTTATCCTAAATTAAAAATGAGAATGTGGTCATACTCTAGCGGAGAACTTTAATTTCTTCTTAGTTTTACTCTACTCTCAGTTCTCCTTTGACATCTTTATCTTTGCTAATTTCTGGAGTAGAATTTACGATTGGGTTAATGTCCTAGGTAATTTTTTCATACTAAAAAGACAACCCAAGTTAATAGTTCTATTAAAAAAAATCTGTGAGCTTTATTTGATTTGGGAGTTCCATCATCATCATCTCAAGAATTGCAGCCACCTGGCACCCATAGGCATGATATGGCCATCTCTGCTTTATGCACTCTGGCAATGAGCATCCCGTATCCCTGCCTCTTTTGCATGTCACATAGAAGAGTTCTGAGTAGGGCTTTCCCTGTTTTTGCAAAGCATGTGCCTGCTGGCTTTTTCTGCATTGCATGAGAGCTAGCAGTTGTGAAAAGCAATTCTGTAGTAATTGGGAGCAGCAGACAACAAATTAGCCACTGAGGGCAGCTGCTTGATGTCAAGAGCAGCAGCCTTCTGTTTCTGGCTTGGAATGTAAAGCATCGCTTGCCGATTATGTTACTATTTGCTGCCTGTAGCTAGCAAACTACAACTGACAATTTGTGCCTGTTCTGTTTCATTTGCAGGGAATCTGACTAAACATATGAAGTCAAAAGCCCACAGCAAAAAATGTCAGGAGATGGGTGTGTTGGCGTCTACCCTAGGGGAACTGGAACCAGAGGAAGGTAAAAATTTGGGACTGTATCTTTGGGGAATGGAATGTGATGCTCTCCACATGGCTGGGATTGAGTGCTCATGCCGAGAGTCACTAAGCATGACCACTGCTGAGAGATTATGACAGTTGTATTGGGAATCATCTCAAAGGTCTTGGTTGCTCACCTATATCACCCTTAGACACCATTCTCGATGCTAAGTAGGGATGCAGATCTGAGGGAATATTTGACTCCTATTCTAACAAGTAGGTGGCAACTTCTGGGTGGCTTCTTAAATAAATGTCCTTTTGGTGGAACATAGCCATCACCATCATTATGAGAGCTTCTGTCTTGACAGCATGAATTTTGTTGATATTCTTTTAAGAGTTGTCAGCACCGATGTGAGACAGAGTGGGGAAAATATGGATTTTGCACGGAGATCAATTCAGGCCATCATTTCCACAAGTTCCACAAGGAGAGAGGGAGAGAATGTATATGGGGGTTAGAAAATTGGAGTCCTGACACATTTGAGGTTCTGGCTTCATCCATTCTTCAGTTCAGCCTGCCCACCATGTCTTGAGTCAGTATGATCCTCTTTACAAGAACATTTTGCCCATACTTGTTCTAGAACATTGGATGGAGAAACTCACAGTTGCTTCAGCTTTCTCATTCCTAGCTAGCACAAGACCTGACCAAATGACTTGGATAGTAGATACTTCTAGTTGCAGAGTACATCTTCTGAACCATCCAGTGGATGGATGGGTTCACATAAAATCCTAGACCAGACTAAAAAGAGGCCAGGTGGTTTGTGGTTCAATGTCTTTTAGGAAACCACACTGCTATTTCAGCATGCTGTATGAACTAGGCCATTACATTAAAGTATGTGGCTCACCTGTTTCAACATAACACATTGCCTGAACTCTGTCATTGTGTTTTGTTAGATTGTGATACTGTATGTTATGTGATCCCATCCAATGTCTTGCTGCTGCATCATACAGTCACTAAGCAGAATAATTTAAAGTGCTGCATCTGTGATAATGATACATCGAGCAATAGTTTTGGCTGTTTTTGCTTTCTCTACAACAATTCTGGACTGCTTTGAAAAGATGAATCCCTTGTAATCCAGATTAGTGTTGTTACAAAGTTTTTGCTCCTTTTTAATTATTCCTGTTTGAGATGGAGAGAGGGGTGTTGTGTAAAATAGAAAACAATCAGTTCTGCTGATAATTCTGACCTGTGCAAGTGTTTGGAGAAGGGCTCATGGTAATGCCAAGGGATTTACCCACCAGACATCATTAGTAGGCATAGGGTTTCCTATCTAAGTAGGGGGTTGGACTAGAAGAATTCCAAGGTCCCTTCCAATTCTATTCTATTCTATTCTATTCTATTCTATTCTATTCTATTCTATTCTATTCTATTCTATTCTATTAAGATGCCTCTTCCTCCATTCTCAAGGGTAGAGGGTACCCATTTCCCCCTTCACTGAATGTGTTAGGACCCAGACTTTCCCTTCTCTTTACCTCTTCTATATGAACCTGCAGACATCAACAACTCCTTCTCCATCCTTAAAGTTGCTCCTGGTCATTTCTCTGCCCAAGAATCTCCGTAGAGGATGGGCATCTGCTACCTGAACCTTAGAAATAGGTCGAGACAGCAGGCACATAGACTTCTTGAGGCAGCCTGAGCGTTATTTTTCAGTTGGTTCTGGAAGTGCGGGGGTTAGCATTAAGCCCTCACCAAGGTGTTGCGATTAGTTGGGAACTAAAAATGTTACCTTTCTCGACGTTGGCATGCCCTCGTGCTTGTCTTTTTAAGCACCCTACCTTTCTGTTAACAGTTTGTCAGGCAAACTCCTTTAATGGCTGGTTTGCATGCAGTTTTCAGGAGAGGAAAGGGAAGTAACCTAGCCTTCCTCTTCCTTTATCATTGATGGTCAGATCCGGGTTTACTGTCCTGTTGACTGTGCAAAGAACAGTTGCCAGATTTTGCAAGACCTAGGTGTAAGGACCCACCCCACTTTGCATCTTAAGAAGACAGAACTCTTGGAATAATTCTTCCAACAGGAATCCTTTATTAAGAGAAAATGGTTGCAGGCATGCTAGACAGGACTTGGGGTTCAAGCTCTCCCATTCAAGGTTTTAAGGGGTTCCCCAGTAGTCCCACCCAATCAACCCCCCTTCCAGTGATAGTTTCAAGTATCACAATTCCACCCCCTTTCTTCTTTCTTCCGTCTGCATGGGGACTTCAGATAACTACATGAAAGGCAACTACCCTCCTTTGGTATGTTAACGCTTCGAGGTTACAATAAACACACATTCAGCATTCAGCTCTTTGAAGTGTAAAGAAGGAAGTGAGGGCCATAAAGCCCCTTTGTTCTCCCCCTTCTCTCCCTCTTATGGCAGAATCCAGAGAAGGCAGAATTGGGAGTTTCTATATTTGATAATTTAAAGATGAAATATAATTGGATTCTGACATCCGGCCCCTCTTAACAATAAGAGAGATCCACCTGAAAGAAAACACAAGTATAAAATTTAGTCAGGCTTGTTAGGATACTCTGTGTGAAACTTCTTCAATAGCTTCGGGACTCTGACATGACGTTTATGGACCCACTCATTTTGTGAGGGAGGTAGGTGTTTCCAGGCAACTAGGTACTGAGTTGCCCCATGATATCTCCTAGAATCAAGGATTTCCTTTATTTCGAAGTGTTGTTCACCCTCCACCATGAGTGGAGGTGGTGGTGGGGGGATTTTTGGCCGTAGATGTGACTGATGCTCTCTTTTCAGCAAGCTGCAATGAAAAATTGGGTGTATTTGCCTGAGGTTTTTGGGTAATTCTAATTCTACTGTTACTGGATTTATGATTCTTTTAATTGGAAAAGGTCCTATATATTTTGGTCCAAGTTTTTTACAGGGCTGTAGGGACTTTAGGTATTTTGTAGATAAGTACACCATTTCTCCTATAATGAATGGTGTAGGCTCAACCCTTTTTTTATCGGCTTGTGCTTTGTATGCCCGCCTAGCTTCATCTAGTGATTTTCTGACTATTGGCCAGGTGTTTTGTAGGTTTTCCATCCATTCTTTCAGTGAAGGGATCGTTGGTTCTTTTGGGGTTAACTCTGGCATAGGGTTGAAACTTTGACCGTTGGCTATTTGAAAAGGAGTGTAGCCTGTGCTGGAGTGGACTGCATTATTGTAGGCAACTTCTGCAAAAGGAAGTAAGTCCGTCCAATCACTCTGTTGGAAATTTAAAAAACATCTCAAATATTGCTCAAGTACCGACTGGCAGCGTTCCGCTTGTCCATCTCCTTGAGGGTGGTGGCTAGATGTCAATCCCTGAGTGGTCCCTAAGAGGGATAAAAATTCCTTCCAAAATGCAGACGTAAATTGCACTCCCCTATCAGAGATGATGCGTTGGGGTGCCCCGTGCAATCTGTAAATGTGCTGGATGAAAAGTTTTGCTAAGGCCTTTGCAGTGGGAATTTTTTGGCAAGGGATAAAGTGCACCTGTTTGGAAAATAGGTCCGTGACTGTCCAGATAACAGTATTCCCATTGCTTTCTGGCAATTCCACTATAAAATCCATGGCTATTTCCCTCCAGGGGGCTGAGGGACTTGCCACTGGTTGTAATAGCCCTGGCGATTTCCCTTGCAACCTCTTTGCTGATGCACAGGTTGGGCAGCTGGCAACATAACTTTCTATGTCCTTTTTTATTGATGGCCACCAAAATTGCCGTTTAATTAAGTGTAAAGTTTTTACAAATCCAAAATGCCCTGCTGATTTTGTGTCATGGCAAAGGTGCATGAAAGTTAGTCTTTGAGTTGTTGGTATATATAACTTTTCCCCTACCCAAGGCAATCCGTCTCTCATTGTGCACACATGTTTGTTTTTCTGGAACCAATCATCTGTTTCCAAACTTTTTCTGAATTCAATCCCAGTTTGGCTGTCCAGTTGTGGTTTTATTTTGGCTTGGGTTCTTGTGGTTACTGGCGCTGCCAGTTGTGACTCTGCCATTATTGGTCTAGAGTCTGTGGTTCGTGCGCTGTTATATTGGGGCATGCGAGATAGTGCATCTGCCAGGAAGTTCTTTCTTCCTGGTAAATGTTTGAGCTTAAATTGGAATTGGTGAAAATGCTGGGACCAGCGGGCTTGTTTGGGATTGAGTTTCCTGGAAGTTTTCAGGGCTTCTAAATTTTTGTGATCAGTCCACACCTGGAAGGGGATTTTGTTGCCTTCCAGGAACTGTCGCCACGTGAGTAATGCCCAACGTATCCCATAAGCCTCCTTCTCCCATACGGGCCAGCGCTGTTCTGTTTCCGTGAGTTTCTTGGATGTATATGCACAGGGTTGCAATACTGCATCATCATTTTCTTGTAATAGCACAGCCCCCACTGCCACATCACTTGCATCTGCCTGTATTATGAAGGGCTTGTCCATGTCTGGGTGCCTTAGTACTGGTTCGGCAGAAAAAAGTCTCTTTAGTCTCTCAAACGCTGCTTGGCACTCCATTGTCCATGTTAGTGGCTGGCTAGGTTTTACTGAGGATGTTCCCTTCGTTTTTAGTAAGTTAGTGAGGGGCAAGGCTATCTGTGCAAATGAGGGGATGAATTGGCGGTAAAAATTTGCAAAGCCCAGGAAACTTTGTAGTTGCTTTCTTGTGCGGGGTGGTGCCCAATTTAGTACTGCTTTGACCTTCTCCGGGTCCATTTCAATGCCCTGTGGGGATATGCGATAGCCTAGGTCACAGGTCGGCAACCTGCGGCTCCGGAGCCGCATGCGGCTCTTTGAGCCTTCCCCTGTGGCTCCCAGCCTCCTCTGCCTTTGCAGAGAGAGACAGAGAGAGGCAATTGCGCTTCCCTGCTTCTCTCTCTCTCTCTCTCTCTCTCTCTGTGTGTGTGTGTGTGTGTGTGTGTTTTGTGTGTGTGTGTGTGTATATATATGTGTAAAAGAGAGTGCACTCACATTGTTCTCCGAGGAGCTGAAAAGCTTACTGGGCGGAGCTCCTCCCTTTGCTGCGTCTCTGCAGGAAGCAGGAAGGGCAGGAGAGAGCTAGCTAGCCCAGCTAGGCTGACTCAGGAATTCTGGGAGTTGAAGTCCATGAGTCATAAAAGAGACGAGGTTGCCTACCCCTGAGATTGTTGGACAACAAC